TTCCATTTTATAACAACTTTTATTGTGTATGTGTGTATGAATTTTGTTTTTTAATTAATGTTATAATTGCTATACTTTTTAAAATACAATCTTTTTCTTGATAATTTTTTGAAATATTTTTAACAACAATTTTTTTAAAGAAAAATTAAAATAAGTTTTTAATTTTGTTTTTTAAAAAATGGAAAAACGTTTTTTTTTTTAAAAAAAATTAGTCACGGATCTGAGCCGTGACTAATGTTTTTAGTCCGGAATTCTTTTATAAATTTAAAATTTATTTTAAAAAAAAAACGAATAGTCACAGATTCATGACCGTGACTAATACGAAATTTGAAAATTGGAACCGCGGGTTTTTGAAAATTTGAAAATTTGAAAACTTAGTCACGGATCATTCCGTGAGTAATATGGCCGATTTTTTAAAAACAAAAATAAACTTAGTCACAGACGTGTCCGTGACAAAAATAATTTTTTTAAAAAAAAACTTAGTCACGAATCTGATCCGTGACTAACGTGCCGGAGCAGATATTTCGGTGAAGAAATAGTCACGGATCTGGTCCGTGACTAATCCGTGACTACATTTAGTCACGGGTAAATTGTAGTGACTACATTTAGTCACGCCCGATTAGTCATGGATTTAGTTATGGTTCTTCCTTGTTCCAGTCACACAATTCGTAACCATCGATTTTGATCCACAATCAGATAACCGGAATCATATACTTCCTCCGTTCTTTTTTAGTTGCAACGGTCAACATTTCACACTTGTCAACGCACATCTTTAACCGTAATTATATCTTAATCCCTATTAGTAAAAAATATTTAAAAATTAGATTTTGAAAATTTGTAATAAGATGAATTGAACAATATAATTTTAAAACAATAATTTTCATAAAGTAATAATATAAAATGTAGTCAAAGTAGAACATGTGAATAGTGTAAAATTCAACATTTTGCGATTAAAAAGAGACGGAGGATAGTATAATGGTACGGTTCCAATCCTTGATGGGTCGGTTCCGATTCTAGAACTGTTGTCCTCAGTCCCTTGAACTAATTTAAACGACTATACATAGTTCAAGGGCCGATAAAAATTACTCCATCACAATTCGAGTATATGAATTTCCAACAGGAGTAATATCTCATTTGATGTGAGTATAATAAGGTCGGAGTGGGTACAAACACAATTTTCCTTAGGGTTAATTCTCAAAATAAGACTAAAACCCATTCACTTTGCACAAACAGGACAAAAAAGTAAACTATGTTTTCATAGCACTAATTATGTGTGATTTGGACAAATATACCCTTATAGCTATTGAAATGTTTTAATTCATAATAAAATAATACAAAATAATATTTTTTAAAAAAAAAAACTAAAAAATTAATAAAATATTTAAATAATAATAAATAAATAAAACTAAAAAATAAAAAAGAAAATTAAAAAAATAAAAAACACAAAAACAAATCACCGCCGCCTCTGCCACCCCAACACCACCACCTCCAATCATCTGGGGAAAAAATGTCAAATTCATTACAAATGTCATATTTATGGTAGAAAACAATGAAAATGTTGGGATTCTTATTTTGGAATAAAAAACATAACAAGTCCTATTTTGAATTCGGTGGGATGGGTAGTGGCGTAGTGCCGTAGTTTAAAAGGTTGAATTTCTTACACAGTATTACTCAATTAGACATACTTTTTACAAATTTATTAAAACAGTCAATTAATACTTTTTTTTTGCGAGGAGTCAATTAATATTTTAGTGCATGTTACAAACGATTTATCTGACCCGGTCAGCGGTCACCTATCCATTATATTCCCTTCATTTTCACTAGACCTGCACAAAAACGGGTTCGGGCCGGGCTCGGGCCGGGCTTTTTATAATTTTTTTGCCCATCATATGTGGGTGGGCCCGGCCCGGCCCGCAAAAACGGGCCTAACCCCATGTCCATACCCGCCCATAAGAGCGGGCCGGGTAGTCCACCGGGCCTTCGGGCCCGAAAAACCTTTATATTTTTCGAATTTTTTTAATACTTTAAAACTAATATTACAACATTTAAAAAATTATTAATATGCGTGTAATGTCTATAGTTCTTTCACCACATACAAAAATAATACTTACACAATAATGAGAAACTATATCTAAAATTTAAAATTCAAGCACAAAGTATTATCTTTAAGTACAAAATTAGATACTATATTAGTTGGGCTAGTGGTTCAGATCTAAAAACCTAAATTTAAACATAATAAACTATAAATATGTATAAAGATAAATTATATTAGAAAATATAAATGTACATGTAAATAAATAAATTATATATATATATATATATATTAAATGTAGCGGGCCGGGCTTATCGGACCGAACGGGCCTACACCCTAACCCTAGCCCGCCCATATGTTATTGCGGGCCGGGCCTGGGCCGGCCCGGTGGGTAAATATATATGCCCAAGCTCGCCCATTTGTGCGGGCCGGTTGGGCGGGTTGGGCGGGCCGGCCCGGTTTTGTGCAGGTCTAATTTTCACCTCATTCTCTTATCATTGTCACCTAAGTTAAAGGTACGTAATGACGTAATGTCATTGCCACTTGCACATAAAATGCTAAAACTACTGTTTTATTGATTATATTATGACCTAAGTTAAAACTGTTTTATTGATTATGAATCTTATGTGTCGTATGTTATTTGTCACTGGTATGTTACTGGTGATGTATGTGTGTTGTGAACAGGTTTTTTATGTTCCAAACTGGTAGGAGTCTGGTTGTTTGTGGTTTTGCAGGTGCAGGGGAAGTCACCAAACCGTTTGGCGACTTATAAGTCGTCATCCGGTTGGGCGACTTATAAGTCGCCAAACCGTTTGGTGACTTTCCCCGATCATGGTTAAATCCAGCATTAATTCGGAAAAAACTCAGAAAATTGTCACAGTCAACCATTTTTTATTTTAAAAATCAAGGAATTTTATATACCCACAACCATTATCGCTGGACTTGATTTTACAACTAATGCACCAACACCAATCACTTTCTTTTTTAAAAAACAGATTATTGAGAAATATTAATACAGACTTTTTCTCAATAAAAATAATCTTGATAATAATAATAAATTTTCTAAATAATTTTTTATCTGATAATTTGCTCTATGATAATTCCGTATTTATATTTCTATTTTCTCTAAATAACTTTTATATAATATAATTACCATTTCAAAATAACTTGGTATGTAAGAGTTTTCTATAATTGGCATATATTAAAATTGGTCTGTAGAAAATAATTCAGAAATGGCATGGAATATAAGCCCCTACTTACTCAATTACTTACAATGATAATTTTTTTTGGGACAATTCTTTGTAACCTAGGATGTTTTCTTTTGGACTGTTTTCAATCCCAGACCAGATTAGACCAGACCAGACTTGACTTCCGTAGTTATAAAATACACAGAGACCAGACGTTTACCAGACCAAACTAGATCAGACCAGACCAACAAATTTCAGTCCAAAAGAAAACATCCTTATATAGTATCTCCCCAATGTTAAGCCCAACATCCTTGAAATGAGATGTGATTCGAACACGTGACTTCCTTCTTGAGAGTGTCACAATGTACTACCATCAGACCACAATGTACCTGACTATTAATATAACAACAAATATTAATAACACAATTGTTTTAATTCAAAGTATCAATTTATATTTGAAGATGCGCAAATGGTCAAAGTTTGTTTTGCATCATTGAACGTGGCATTCAAGTAATCTTTATATTCGTACTTCGTAGTACTCCGTGTATTTCTTTATTTCCTATTCCCCTTTACTTTTTCATTCCATCTTTAGTATACCCAATTAAAGATTATGGGTGAAAATTAAAGAAAGTTTCGATGTATATTTTAGGTGAATCAAATTTATCAAACTATTACCTTTTTAATTGAACGAAACATCGTAAGCTTTAGTAATTTTCAACCTTTCTTTTTGTCTATCTGTTGCAAATTTTACACGGTATTAATAAGTTTGACTTCGAATAAACTGTTTTTCTAGTACAAGTAATTGCCACATCATACATACGCATTAAATTTTGAATAATCTCATAGCTTGATATTCACATCATTAGTTTTTCTTGGAAATGCATTAAATGCGTTTTAACTATAATCTACAATAATTCAGGATTTGGATCTTGATACCGGATTTTCTTTTTAAATAATCCACCTAAATAATCTCTTTCGCTCAATGTTAATCTTCAAAATAATCTAACACATCATCTAATTAATCTTCAAATAAACTCACCAATGGGGATGCTCAAAGATTAAAGCAATTTTATCAATGTAAGACCGGAACAATAAATGAGTTTTCAATCTGGAACCTCAAAGATTAAATGTATCAGTATAAAACAAAAACTATCAATCTGGGATCTATGTTGTTATGATTTTTTTTTTTAATTTTAAACTATTATTTAACCTTATCAAAATAATAACTTTTGTAAAGAGAAATTCATCAAAAATTAGCAGTTGAGTTAATAAAAAATTAAATAAATAAAAACATATGAAATTTTAGCTCCTATATGGATAGTTTTCAATCATTCAGACCTTATATAGTTATACCGACATATTTTATCTTTCAGGTGCCGAATTGATAATTCATATATCTTTCGGGTTTTGGATTGATAAAACCCATTTTTTATAAGAGAAAGTGAATATGAAAAACAAAATAAACTTTACTTTAGAAGATGTAATTGTGGAATTTGAAAAAGGGTTGTATGGACTATTGACTGATTATTTTTCCCTATTTAAAGAAGTGATATCATCCCTAACTTTCACCATTAAATTGAACTAAATAAAATTCGTTCAAGCGGCCACACAACATTTTCATGCCCATAGTTTGTTGTATAGGGAGAGATTAAAGATGAAATTTTGGGGTATGTCTTCAATACTATTCCTCATCTTATTAGTTTTAAAGGAGATTAGGGCGGGGAAGGAGGAAAATGGGTGGGTTACGACCCAAGGTGTGCAGTTCATGTTAAACGGAAGCTCGTTTTATTCGAACGGGTTCAATGCGTACTGGTTAATGGTCGTTGCCTATGATGTAAAAGAGAGATCCAAGGTCACAGAAGTTTTCAAACAAGCCCAAATGTACAACCTCACCATTGTTAGAACTTGGGCTTTTAACGACAATCCCGGGAATTTTTCCTTGCAGTCCAGCCCCGGCGTCTACGATCAAACCATGTTTCAGGTTTGTGTTTATAGGAGAATTCTACGGCATCCTCGAATTTGTACATAGTCTAGCGGGGTAATTAAAATATTGCAATTGATTAAATAATTCCAACATAGACAAATAACGAAATTATGACATGGACCAATCAAATGACATGTAGGATATCCTAACTTATCAATGGAGTACCGTACGTAATTAACATTCATTCATATTTTATGTGTGATGTGATACTAGCTAGTGCCATACATGAGTGAAAGATTCAATATACTCGGTCTACTTGGTAATATGGTTCTTAAATTATATGGTTCAAAAAATTATATCTTCCATTTATTTGTACACGGTATTTTACACGCCGTTAACCGGATATTAAATTATTTGGTATATATTCCGGAAACTGAAATTGTAGTGTTCTAATTAAATTGTTTTGGGTGGATGATTTGAAGGGGTTGGATTATGTGATATCCGAGGCTGGGAAATATGGGATAAAGCTGATCTTAAGCTTGGTTAACAACTATAATGATTACGGGGGGAGAAACAGTACGTGAGATGGGTATATCCTGATCGGAACTTGTCTGCTGTTTCGAATGCTTCCGATGAGTTCTTCACTGATGAGAACGTCAAACAGTTGTACAAGAATCACGTTCAGGTCAGCATGCCGCTCCAATGTAACAATATAAGGAGTATATATAGAACTATACTATCATACTCCGTATGTAATTATGTATATATGTACTACGTACTTCGTATATATGTATACTTGCTCTCTGGCATATTTACGGGAGAACGCCACACATAGTAGAAAGACGAGTTAATTCCCTAGATAGGAGGGAAACATTAAAAAAGTTCCTAAATAGGACTTTAATGTTTGATAGGAGTAAAAAGTATATGGCTTGACCAAATTACCCTTAATGAATAACAGGTAGTTTGTATTTACAAATAAAAAAACAATACGTAACCCTAGATCTACAGGTGGTCTGCTTCGTCCACCATGGATGCTGCCACCATGTGATGTCGCAGCCGGCTCGCGCCGCCATAGCCACACCCTCCGGCATCTCCTTTGCCGCCGCCATGCTCCGGCGTCTCAGTCGCCGCTGCCGCCACCTCTGTCGTCTCAGCTGTCACCGTCGTCAGATTCCGGCTTATACGCCGCCGTCACTGTGCCGCTCCGCCATCTCTGCCCTGGAGAGACTTGTACAATAAGTGTCATCTTAGTACAACAAGTGTCATCTTAATGCTAAAATGCCATATCTTAATACTAAAATGCCATCTTAATCTTAATGGCTCTTATTGACATCTTTGTAATAAAAAGTTCATACCGAAAAATGTAAAATATTGCCATGTTGTTTTGGATTAATGCCATAAAATGGCAATATTTGCCGAAATGCCATTTTTACAATGAAAAACATGACATTAAAGTTGTTGTTTATAAACATTAATATTGTAATTTTTAGATGGCATGTTTTTTTGAATTGGATTTTTCCAGTGAAAAAGCTCACAAAATCATTTCATTTTTTCAAAACAATTTAATTAAATGAAATAAATAAAAAAAAGATCCAGAACTTTCAAGCAACTGGAGCCTCTCATGTTTCAATTCGAAAATTTCAGATCTATAATAGGAAATTTATTTTGAATCTCAAATCTAAACAAATAAAATCAACAAAATATACCAAACCTTTTCAAATTTTCTGGTCAAAATCGTTGGGTCTTGAACTTTTCAAGAAAAAATTTTCAGATCTAAAATAGTGATTTTCAGTTTGGATCTAGCTCAAAATAAAAAAAATGGAGAAAAAACAAATCAATCAAGAGAAGAAGAAAACAGAGCCTAGGGGTGAGAAGAGGAAGAAGAAAATGGCCGGAGAAGAAGAAGATGGCCGGAGAAGAAGAAGAAACGGGGAAGAAACTCACCCAAGTATCCTGCCGCACAACCGCCCTGCAGCTCCACTGCCGTACAACCCCGTGTGTGGCTCCGTTGTTCCGCCCTGGATGTGCGCCTCATGCTCCCTGTTATTGATCCGCCTAGGAAGCTCCGTCGTTCTGCTTGAAGAAGAGAGAGATGATTGCTTCGTATTCATGTTTTAACTTGATTTGAAGAGAAAAGAAAGGGGGGAGGTGTAGTGCCTAGAGAGAGATTAAAAAATAAGGAAAAGAAAGGGGAGTGGGTCACGGGTCTGCTACGATACGCAGATGGGAAAATTAAAATAAGGGAGAAAGGGTATTATTGGAACTCAAACTCCTATTCTGGGAACAAAAAATATAAGGTCCTATTTTGGAATTAATCTTATCTTTTAGTCTTATCTAGGACAATTACTTTAGAAAGACATTAAATAATGGTCAACTTGAAAGTCAAAAGTCGATCACTAATTATAAGTGTGAAAAGCTAAGGCGTTATAAATTATTTTTTCCTAATGAAAAAGTTGGATCAAATTAAAACATAAGTACACTCTTATAAATATGTTACCTATGCAATCAAATGGTAACAAATAACAATATATTACTACGTATTATAGATTATATTTTTCTATTTCTTTTTTTTTTTACAACACTTCTAATACATTACGGGGTATATATCATATGTTCAATGATAATGTCAACATTATATATTTGGTCTAATCTGTGACCTCCGCTTGGAGAACAATATGGATATCATCAATGAAAAGGTACATATCAAACTTTTGTTATTTTTTATACTTTAAAATGAATATATTCATAAAAGAAAGTAAAAAATATGCCCACTGCACACTTGTATAGTTTTTGGGCATTTTTTGAATATCATTGTACTCCGTATAATTTATCACTAAAAGTTTACACGCCTTTCCATGCCTTTCCACGCATGGGCTTGTCAATTCCATTCTCGAATCGATTTAAAAGACTAGAGACTTGACCTTGACACCCAACGATGAATTTAGGGACGATGGGAGCAGGGGGACCACCCCTCTTTGAACTTTAAAATTTTCTACTATTAAAATCTCAATTGGAGTTGATTTTCATAAACTTTGATCGTTCATCGTTCGTTATTCAAATTAAACTTACATTACCTTATCACACAAAGTAAATCTCACGAACTATTTTGAGTCCCAGACTAAATCAGATCAGACCAAATCAAATCAAATTAGAGAAGATCAGAACAGCTTAGACCTGACTTGGACAATTATAAAATACACATAGACCGGACATTTACCATACAAGACCAAACCAGACTATAAAATTCCAGTCTAGGTAAAAACATCCCTAGTCACACGATAGTTTAATTGCACTATAAATTACTTTTCGAGACTTATTTTCTTCTTTGTACAGGCTGTGCTTACGAGGAACAACACCATTAGTGGTGTTGTATACAAGGATGATCCTACTATAATGGCTTGGGAGCTCATGAATGAACCTAGATGTCCCTCCGATGTGTCTGGAAACACCCTGAAAGTATGGTGTTCTCAATTTTGTACTCCCTATATATGTTTTTAAGGGATAAACATTTACTACTCCGTATCATTTTTATGGGGAGAGTGTATATATGTCACATTTCTATTTTTATAATCTACTCCCTCTGTCCCTTATAACTTTGCCAACTTTCCTTTTTTGGATGTCCCATTAACTTTGCCACTTTCCCATTTAAGTAAAGAATTTGTGGTTCCAGTTAATTCTCTCTCCTCTGCACAAACCTCAACCACACAATTTTTACTTTATTAATTCCCGTGCCGGTCAAACTTGGCAAAGTTATTAGGGACGGAGGGAGTACAATATAAAGATATGCTGTGAGAATGGGGGCAGGGGGGATAAGGGAGATGAGTCTTTTGAAAATAAAGAAAAATATTGAAAATGAAAGGATGAAGAAGTTATTAATATGAGTGGTGTAAAATTTATTATGTATCACTTATTTAAAAAGAGAGGTAATCTGCACATAAGTACATTGGTTTAATTTGTAGTACAAGTTCTGCAATATCCGTTCTTCAATTGGCCATGTGTTCTGGATTGCAAAATAGCTTGTTTTTTGTGGACAATAATTTAATTTGTGCAATTAGAATGTTTTCTTTTGGACCGTTTTCAGTCCCAGACCAAACTTGACTTCCGTAGTTATAAAATACACAGAGACCAGACGTTTACCTGGTCAGACCAGACCAGTTCAGACAAGACCAGACCAAACCAGACCAGACCAGACCAACAAATTTCAGTCCAAAGAAAACATCCCTAATGTATTACAAACAATTAAAAGAAAGAGAGCATTTTTTTTTTCAGAAATGGATAGCGGAAATGGCTGGCTACTTGAAATCCATCGATGCTAATCATCTACTAGAAGTTGGGCTGGAAGGCTTTTATAATCCATCAAATGGCTACAAAAATCAGGGACTGCCTTATTATCAAGTGGGGACTGACTTCATCAGCAAGAATCAAATCCCTGAGATCGATTTCACCACAGCTCACCTTTATCTTTTAAGTCTGCATATTTTTTCCATATCTAGTTATTTGCGTCTTATATATTTTTGAAAATATTTTATTATTTACCATGTCTTTACATTTTGGTAAGTTTTTCGTCTGCAATCACGTAAGTTATGAATATTTTTTTTAATCCAAGGGACGTCTGAGGAGGGGATAGGGGAGTCTGGAGTAATCTAGGCAGAAACTCACTTCATTGAATTTTGAATCGGAGACCTCCCGTAAGGGAGAGTGAGTCGGCGATCAGCTGGACTGGACCGCTTCCTCTAATCTCTTACTTAGTACTTTTGTTTACTTTGAATCTCTTTTGTATTATCAACAATATCTCATGCATGTTTTTTTACATTTTTCTCATGTTTTTTTTACATTTTTCTACTCCATTCAATACCTCTAGTTTGACTTGAACTCTATGAATTGAAATCTAAATATAGTCGCACACTCGCACGTGAATAAATATGAGGGTGTTTTCTTATATTACGGGAAAAACCAACATCTAAAGCAAAATAACGGGATTTTTCCTAGGTTTCAAAAAAAATGAGGGATTCGGAAATGGCAATTCCGAATGGAATGATGGGGGTTGGTTGGTTGGGAGGGGTAGGGGTGGGAGGGTAGTGGCAAGGTTAATGTAAAATCTCATTTTTTTTCTTTGAAGTGAGGTAACTTTTTTATTTGTACTCCAAAATTTACAAAATTTATACCGAGTAATTTTATGATCTTCCTAATGACATGAATATTCCATATATAAAGTTTAATTTATTATTTGACGTTTTAACCGTAGAAAATTTTCAGATCCAAAAGTTTTCTTAAATTTATTCAAATGCTAAAATTAAGATCTCATTGTTACAATAACTCTTTTTTAGATGTTCGAATTATTTTTAAAGCAGGGTTTCAATTTTAGTATTTGTATCTATTTAAGAAAAAATTTTAAATCTAAAACCTCCTAGTGTTGAAACTTCAATTATAAAAGAAAACACTTTATATACGTAGTACATAATAATGGTGTCATATGAAAGATCGTAAAAAATTATAAATTCTGATATAAGTTTTGCATGCAGAGCACTTCTGTCGTTGGGAAAAAATTAAACGTTTCGGGAAGAAAACAAAAATTAATCGTACCTCTTGAGAGATGGATTTTTGGACGACATTCGTGTCCGCAGGTCGCCCGCGCACGTAAGTCGCGGGTTTTTCTTCTCCGAATTCGGGATTTGATTTGCACCCCCCCCCTGCGCGCGTGGAGAGAGCCTTTACCCTTAAGAATCTTAACTCCATAAGGGGGGAGTCCCTTTATAAAGGGTAGCAAATCCCTTGGGTTTTCCGGTGTGGGAAATTAACACACTAGAAACCCATCCTTTTTCCCTTCTAACGGGTAAACTTCGAAAAGCGATTTCTCATTCACCCGTTATCCGTTTTGAGCGTACCGTATATCGAATTGTAGCCCTTAACAAGGACAATCCGAAACCACTTTGACCCGACCCAAATCGGAAGTGGACCCCACTCAAAAAATTGCCCCAAGATAGCCATTTAATGCAATTTTTTCACACATTTTTCCAACACTTTTCTGTATGTATGTCCCTATGTTAATTTTTTTGTCAAAGAGTATGTAGTGTATACGGAGTAGTACTCCGCAGACCGCAGTATTAATTTTTTGTCCCTACGTAGTATTATATTTCTCTTCTACGCAAGGCGTTAGTTTATTTGGTAATAAGATATCAAATTCATAAATTTAGAGCCTAACATGAAAATAATAATGAAATGTAGTTATGTAACCATTCTCTCGATCATGACATAAACTCTTCGTCTCTATTACCCTACATTTGAAGCATGAATACAAATTAAAATGTGTTTGAGTAATTGAGTCATCATTGCAGCTCATGTCATTTGATACTAAAATATGATTAACTATTTTTACCTCTTCATCACCTTAAAAAACTCTTCCCTATATTGGCTGGATATAGACACGGTGGTTACACTCTTCCTCAAACAGTCAAACCTCATTTCTTCTTAATATCTGGAAATCTTCGAACACACCATTTTATTATAGTACTCCTACTGGCTACTGGCTTGATACACTGCATAAAAAATATAACCTCATTGGTTGTCAGTTTCTTCTTCTTCTGCCTAATTTTTTTGGCAAATTTCACCAGCCTAATTCAGTCAGAATCACTCGTTCCGAATCTCGTGTTTTCATACCCTAAAATCCTAAATCCTAAAAGCCTAATTTTTGGATTTCATGTTCAAAAGTCCCGTCATTTTGTCATTTCATGTAGTTAGGATGTTTTTATTTGGACTGAATTTTCTGGGTTGGTCTGTTTTGGGCTGATCTAAACTAGTATGATCTAGTAAATGTCCGGCCTCTGTTATTATTTTATAACTATCCGAGTCTAGTCTAGTCTGGTTTGATCTAATCAGGTCAGGTCATGTATAAGACTGAAACGGTCCAAGTAAAAACATCCAAACGAACGATTCCTTTTTTCATTTATATATATATACACACTACGTACGTTTGATCCATTCTCACTGATTTGAACATTTTGCCTGTGTTGTGGAGGTTGAGGAATGGCTCAAGTGATGAAGAGCAAGTGGAATTTCTGAAAAAATGGATTAAAGTCCACATCGATGACGCTCTGAACACTACTCTTCTTCACAAACCTATGCTCTTGGCCGAGTTTGGGAAGCATGAGCAGGATCCCGGTTACAGCGTCACAAAGAGGGACAATTTCATGAGCACCGCTTACACAGCCATGTACTCATCCGCCAAGGCCGGAGGTGCGGCGGCCGGCAGCTTGTTCTGGCAAATTATGGTCGAAGGTTTGCCTAATTACAAGGATGGGCTTTCGATCATCCTCAGCCAGAATACCTCCACAAATTACATTATATATGAAGAGTCACAGCGGCTCGCTGAGCTTAGTAAAATGTATGCAATGCTGAAAAACAAGGAGTGGAAGAAAATGAAGAAGAACACTAAGGGGGCAACCGCCAGAGAAATCCATGGAAATGGCAACGGCAATTGATCAAAGAAGAAGGAGATGGAGAAGGAGAAGAAAGTCACATGCATGCAACAGATTCTACCACATTAATTAATTAAAGAAACATTATGGCAGAATGTTTTCTTTTATTAATTATTCCCTGCTTCCCTATTTAAAGGGTTTAAACATTTTTTATGGACGGTTTTATACATTGTTAACACAATCAATTTAAATCATTTTAGTATCTAATCTCATATTCTCATATTCTCATATGATGAATTTTTACTCTGTATTGTATTTGAACTTGAGTTTTTCAGATTTAATATACCGAAGTAATATCTAATCTACATGGAAACTGTAGAGTAAAATGCATAAATAGTAACTCAATTATTGCCAATGTTGCATTTTAGTACATTAACTCTTTAATGAAGCAAATTAGTACCTCAACTATGTTCAAATGTTGCATTCGGAGGTACCATTCAATATTCCGGCCAAAACAATGCCACTTATCCGCCGGCGTGTATATCCTAGTCATCATTTTTATCCACGTCATTTGTGTATAATCTATGTCATTTGTGATGATTAAGCTATCAAAAATTTAAGAATCCCCAAAAGCCTTGGCTGGAAATCGAACCCGCGTCAATCACACATGTTGCTGCTTAGTGCCCATTCCAGCCCCATCCGATCACGATGCTTAATGTTTACTTTGCTGAAAGAAATAATACCAGTATCAGTGGTCTGCAGTTTTGACAAATTGACTTTATTTATTATTTAATAAATCATAGTTTATTTTATCAATCCGTATTATATATGCCAAAGTATCCTTACATCATAAATCCTTATATATTTTTGTTAAAAATTATATTTCACGTTTTTTAGTCTAAAATTTAAATAATTGAAATTTCAGACATTTTTTTTACTTTATATATGTAATATTTGTATCACATGAAAGATTATAAAAAAAATTACTACCTTCGTCCCGAAAAGCTTTGCCAAATTGACTTTTTGCTTGATGACAATGAACTTTGACCAATGATATCTTTTAATATGTATTTATTTGAAAATGAAAACTATATTAAACTGTTCTTTATTCCAAATGTTTTAAAATGTTCTTTATATGAAACTGTTCCGGCATGTTTGTCACGGAACAGATCCGTGACTATGTTTTTTTAAATTTTTTATATTAGTCACGGTCGTATCAGTGACTAATACAATCATTTTTTTTAAACATCCTCCATCTTAGTCACGGCCGTATTCATGACTAAGTTTTCAAATTTTCAAAAACCCGCGCTTCAAATTTTCAAAATTTGAAATTTTAAATTATAAACATTACCAACATATGTAGCCTATTACTAATATATTCAATTTCACTATAGTTCACGGGCAAAATTAATGTATAGGAACATTAATATATTATATTTCGCTATAGCCTGTTTAATATATTCATAAACATTAACAATAATTTTATATGTATAGGAACATTAATATATTATATTTCACTAAAATTCGCTAAAATCAACTAATGTCCAATTAATATTATTAAACTACAAACAATACGTCAATGGCATTTAATCCACAATACTAAAATTATCAACATCTTATGAATAATACACATTTAACAATTCACTAAATTAAATAATATGAGAAAATCCAATAATTAACTAATTTACGTCATTTTAACTAAATACAAATTAATTAACATTATGCTTAAATTACACCTACGTTTAACTAATTTTAACTAATCTATTTCGTTAATTAATTAACAACCTTTTCCTAATTTTCGAATTAACTTATATTTAAATTTAACTAATATTATTAAAAATTTAACTAATTTAGCTAATTAATTTAAGTTAATGCGTCACTACGACTAAACCTACGTTTAACTAACTAATTTTCACTAAATTAAATGAAGTTCACATAATTCACAATATTAATTTATCACACTTATTAAGTAATGTCTCAATAATTAACCCTAACTTAAATCATTATAAATCCTAAATTAGGCATTAACA